TTACAAGGAAGTCCAGTAAATACCACTATCATTCAGATATATGCACCAACAACCAGAGCCAAAGAAGAAGAAATAGATGATTTCTACCAACTTTTACAGTTGGAGATAGATCGAACATGCAATCAAGATGCATTGATAATAATGGGTGACTGGAATGCAAAAGTTGGGAATAGTGAAGAAGAATTGGTTGTCGGAAGGGTTGCTATAGAGATAGCCAAATCTAAGGCACCTAACAACTACAGCCACTAGTGGGGTCAGCCTTCATAAGGCAGTAGATAAATCCAGGTTGGATCATGGATGTGGAACAAAAAGAGTGTTCTCATTTCTGGTTTTGTGGCATCTTTGTGGAGTAGCACTTCATGCTATTGTCCTGCCCAAATCACTCATCTAAACTTCGACACTAAATTGTTCCAGCATAGTTTATCCTTCAGCTTCCTTTTCCATGATTATTGAATCAGATTATTTTATTACTTGATGCCTCTCATTGTTCTTTCTGTCTCTCTTTTAATCTTTTTTAATTTTTTATTAAATTTTATTAGTTTTAATGAACATTTACAGAGATTTTGGATTTAAGAGTTCCTATCTTGCTATATCATGGACATTCACACGATGGAATACTATGCAGCATGGAGGAGCAATGATTTTGTAAATTATTACCTCACTTGGGAGGGACTGGAGAGCATTATGCTGAGTGAACTAACTCAGTCCCATAAAGAGAAACACTGTATAAAACCATTATTGTAAAATGAGTATGAGGATCCAAGGGAGTGTGGAGGGTGGAAGCAGAGGGATGAGGATGTGTGAGGGGAGTGCGGATTAATCATGGGTTTGTACAGTTTGATGGGTGGGAGGGGTCAGGGAAATTGGAAGAATCGGGTCTGGAAAACAATATATTCAAATTTTTTAAATAAACTAGTATAATAAAAAATCAGGCTTTATTTAACTCAGTATATTCAAATATTATTGAAACTTATAATGAATATAGAAAATTATTGATGAGATTTTTTTCATTGCCTTTTTTCTTAAATCTTCAGAATCCAGTATATATTTTACATTTATAGTATATTTCAATTCAGAAATCTATATTTAGGTTTCATAAATTTACAATTGAAAAGGTAGAGTCACATGCCTAGGTGTGACCCAAATGTACTTTAACATTTCCAACTCTTAGTTTTTAAATTAAAATTTAAATAAAATATAGTTAAAAACTCAATTTCTCATTTACATTGGCCATACTGCATGTTCTCTATAACCTTTTGTGGCTAGTACTTAACTACTGGACTGTACAACCTCATACTCTCTGTCCAGATATTGATGAGGAATTTTAATATGCTTAGTACATTTTCCTGATGGTGTTCGAGGTAAGTAGATGGCCCACCTGAATGTTGCAGAACCTGCAATCTGACTTAACTTCCTTTACTAATTCTGAATGTTGCAGTTTGTGTGCACTGGTGAGATGCCCAAAGGATGAACTAGATACTGTTTTCTTTTTTGTGTGATCAAATATTTTTTTCAGTTGTAAAATATTTCAAATTTACTAACAAGAAGAGAGAATACTTTTTACATGAGATTTTTAGCAAATTTCTATTTATTCTCTGTGGAATGTTCTACTTGTTATGTATTTTATATTTGTTTTTCATAAGCAGCTATGGTATTGTAGAAAGCATCAGAGGATCTGAGTGTGAGTTTTAGTTAACTCTTACACTTACTGATTTTATGAACTTGGGCAGTTAACTTTGTTATTTCAATCTCCATTTTCTCATTTATAAAATGAAAATAATATCTCACTTCATGCATAACTGTGAGGAGTAAGACTACATACATATGGTTAAAATTATAAGTGCAAAAGTGGTATTTCCTATTCTCGTATTTAGTCTCATTGTTATAATGATCCTGTAAAATTGATGTTTTAAATTCTTCTTGTGCAGATAAACAAGCTGAGTGTCAGGTTAATTAAATCCTTGTAGTCATAGCTACTTAGACTGTGTGCCATAATTGAAACATAGATTATTTTTACTTTAAGTTTAAACAGCATCTTGCAGGCCTGTGTTTCCCCCAGATGTTTACCAATATTCATCCATAGCCTGAGTGCTGACTACCTTTCTTCCCTTTATACTCAGGCCCTGACACAATCTTTATCTCTTCCAACATCATTGCTAATTTCTGATGTATACCTGCTGGGTTCAGACAGTAAGTGCTTATGGTTGACTATTCATTTGTTTTTAAGTGCCATGAGTCACTTTGCTTATTGATGCTGCTATATTGTTGTATTAAACAGTGAATCTGTCATTATGCTTAAATGTCTAACCCTGAGAGGATAAGAAAGTTTAAATTTTATCTTTATGTGGCATACTCATATTTCCCCCTTAATGTTGTCAGTTTTCTATCTGCTGCTGCTTTTCTTTAATACCGATTTTGTTAACAGCATGATTCTCTACTGCTAACAATGAAAAGTAATTCAAGATTTATCTTTCTTTTATAAAAGACTGCTTATGGATTAAAGATTGATTTGCAGCATTGATAAGAAAAACACTGATTCTTGAAAACTTCTCATAATTTGCCCCAGAGAAATGAAATCTAAGAGCAAACCCAGTTCTTACAAAAGGCTTGAGCACTAAGCTCTTTGAGCCTGCATCCTTGCTAAGTGTGACTGTTCAGCCAGGAGAGTTTAGCTGATGCTTTAGTTTCTTGTACAGGAGGCAGTGCCAAATCAAGGTCAGCTCTTTTGCAGCTATATGCCTTGATCAAGTGGTCAGAAGCAAAACCTCATTTAATAAAAGGCCTTAAGGCATCCAGGCATGGATATACTGGATGAAGGTATTGTTTGTGTATAAATTATAATTTTTTTAAAAGGAGACCTTTAATAAAAGTGCATTGATTTTAAGTGGTGAAAAAAAATGATGATAATATTAAAACTTTGAAATTGTTCTTTCTAGTGAATAGTGAAAACCTATGCTTATTGGATATAAACAGCTTTATAAAGAAGTTTAGAAAATCTTGATTATTAAAGACATTTTCATTGTCTCACTGAATTTCCAGAAACTTTAAAGTAGTACAGCAGAGGAGATAATGGACTAAGGGCTGTTTGCTTAATGCAGTTCTTTAGCCTCTAATGGAATATATATTGATATTGGTGTTCTGGTTTAGCGTGAGGGACTGTCACATTGCTGGAATCTTTGAAGAAGGACTTGCCAAGCTTTAATATGTTCATATGTGCTAGTTTGAACATCAGCATGCTTACCATAAATGGTTATAAAGCTTGCCTTTAGCAAGTCAGTTACATGAATCTGATACATGGCTTCAGGTATAATTTCCTACTCTTCCACTAGGATTATCTTGCTACATTACCCAAAAGATGTATGACAACTAGACAAAACACCTACATCTCTGTGACAGTACCCTGTCCATGAAGAGGTGTAGTCAGTTTAAGTTGTAGGTGGAAATAAACACAAAACAAATAAACACAAGCCTGACCAGGGCCTAACAATGTATGAATTTACCATTTCTTTTATCAGTTATATATATCTCTAATAGATATATGTGTCAGAACAAAAACTCATTGCTTCCAACATTCAACTGCATATACATTCATGGTTCATGATTTCATAACAGTTGTTTTTGGTTGGGTTTTAGTTTGTTTGTTTGTTTAAAGGGGAATCAATTTTCTTCTTAACATTGCCTCTTAATGATTTTGAAGGAGACTCCTAATGGAGACTCAGCCCTGGGCCATGAGTAGGATACAGGCAGGTGAGGCAGAGCAGCGTGCTCTTGGGCTTTGTCTGGTGGGCAGGTGGTGGCAGGAGCAACTGTAGCAATAGTCATGGTATGCATTTCTTATACCTCCACCAGCAGCTGCAGCAACCATGGTAGTGTCAGATGAAGACAACCAGAAAGGATTGCTCATAAGTTGGGATTTTTCACTATCTATTTGTGTTTTATTGATGATGCAAAGGCATTTGACTGTGTGGATCATAACAAACTATGGCTAACATTGAGAAGAATGAACATCCTGGAACACTTAATTATGTTCATACAAAACTTATATCTAGAACAAGCTTTTGTCAGAAAAGAGCAAGGGACCACTGCATGATTTAAAATCAGGAAAAGTATGTGTTATGGTGTGTCATTTACCCATATTTATTCAATGGGTATGTTGAACAAATCATTGAAGAGGGTAGATTCTCTGTGAAAACAATGGAAAAATCAGGATCAGAGGAAGACTCGTCAATAACCTGCATTATGCTCATGACGCAAACTTACTTGCTAAAAGTGAGAAGGGCTTGAAGCGTTTGTTGCAGAAGATCAAAGAATACAGCCTTCGATATGGATTACATCTTGATGTCAAGACAAAAATCGTCACTACCAGAATTACAGAAGGGAAAACTATTGAAATCTTCAACAATTTCATTTTTCTTCAGTCCATAATCAACACTTTTGTTACCAGCAGTCTAGCGATCAAGAGATTTATTGTATTGGGCAAGTCCATGGTCAAGGACTTCTCCAAAATGATGAGGACCAGTGATGTTAGTTTGAAGAGGCCATTGGCTCTTCAGTCACTAGTTATGCTGTTCATAAGTTTTTTAATATCTCTTAATTTGAACATTGTCCTATTTCACGAACATATTGTGGACATTAACTTACACATATCTAGAGTCCAGCATCTTTCCTGAGCATTATAGACAGCAAGTCTACTTTTATATTTGTCTTTTATTAGGCCCTATACTTGGAATAAGATGCTAAGTTTTTCACATCTCTATGTTCCTTCACTCTTCTGCTGATTGTTTTCTTGCCATTCTGTTAATAGTGAGTTTTAGTATGGATTTTCTTCTGAAAATTGGTGCTATTATGTTTGCTGTTTGCATCTTATTATATATGTGTCTTTATGAGAAATTATACTCTGACATAAAAAAGATTTTTAAAATGACATCTTAGAGATACCAAATTACATTGCAGCGCTCTGCAGGGAAAGGACTGCTGAACTGTGGAGAAGTGAGTATTGGTGAGTAACTGTGATAGGAGGATTACAGAGGGCATATGTAGAAGGCGAGAATTTCCTGTAGTTTTCTTTTGTTTTTTAAGAGACTTTATTACTTTGATGTAAGGAACTGATGAATTTTCTCTTTCCCACTCTGTTTAGAAAAGCATTCATATTTCATGTCTAAAGGAAAATGCATCTTCGAAGTTTTTGGCACCATATACCTCCTTTTCCAGAATTCATGCAAAGAGTGTAAGTATTTTGGTAAAATGATGAAAAAGTTGAAAACCATGTTAATTTTCCATTTTATCAACTAGTCTAATCTAATAAATGTATTGATAATGTATTTTTTGTATTCTTCACATTATAAGATCATATAGCTGATGAAATGTGATATGGTTGCCTAAGCTAGTACTCATATCCTCATGTTGCTATTCTTGTTGCTATTGTTATATGCCATCAAGTTGCCTGCAACTCATAGCGACCCTATCTACAACAGCCCTAAGCCCTACTCTATCCTGTGCCAATCTCACTGTCTCTGACACACCCACCCCCATTTCCCCAGTCACTATATCAGTCCATCTCATTGAGGGTCTTTCTCTCCTGCTCTGTCCCTCCACCCTCCCAAGCATGATGTTCCTCTCCAAGGACTGATCCCGTCTTGCAATATGTCCAAAGTATGTCAGATGAGGCTTCAGAATCCTTGCCTCCAAGGGGCAGCCTGGTTTCACCTTCTCCAGGACGAACCTGTTTGTTCTATTAGCAGTCCATGATATATTCATTACTCATAGAATATGTATACAGTTCTACATTCTGGTGATCTTAAAGAAAGATTTGCACATTTCCTTTGTATGTGTTCTCTGAGAGCTTCTTACTGACTTTTAGGTAATGAAGATAGTAATCAATGTTTACATAATAGTTTGCTGTTCATATATGTCTGTCCATGTGCATATAAGATAGAAGTATTTTCTCAAAATTCCACATACAGCATACTGAGAATTTTCAAAGTGTTTGTAATAAAGCCTTTTCTACTTCCATAGCTATTTTGAAAGGTAAGAAATAGGTGAATAAATGGATTATAATAAAGGTTTTAATTTCATACTGTGTGGTAAATACATTGTAAAGCACAGCTATTATTTACCCTTATTACAAAACATATATATTCAGTGATAAACATTTAGGAAACATAAAAGGAAGCTGAAAATGATTTCTATTTTAAAGAGTAACTACTATAACCTTTATTGTAAAGTCTTTGTTAATAATCTACTGAACAGAAAGTTTCAAAGGGTAACTTGAAAAGACAAAGTATTATGATGAACTCTGCAAAGTCTTGCAGTTACAAAAAAGGGAAGAAGACCCATGGCACTTGTCAAACTGAAAGCATGAAAAATAAATGTAGGCCTCAATTTGCAGTCTTGAAGGATTCTGTGAGCAAAACATTGGACAATGCAGGAAGCATTAAAAGAAGATGAAAAAAAAATGATGAAAGTGGTCATTTCTAAGGTTTTTAAAATGGGTTATCTGATTTGCTCTGGATTTGGCCATAAAAACATTCCCAATAGGTTTTCTTTTTGCGATCTTGCTAGCATTCAACTTACTGGGCACATTTTTTATGCCTCATTTTGTTTCCATTGCCTGTATACTAGTAGAAATAGAATTTATATCTGTGCTCTGTAAAGCATTATTTCTCTCCTTCCTAAACAAGAAAGAATGAAAAAAATACACCGTTGTTATACCAATTTTAGAACACAGCATATAATAAAGGGCCAGTGGTACTAACTAAATGAAGACAACCAAACTGTATTGAAGGCATTGGTACAAAACAGGGTGCTAGGAATTTACAGAATACTGATTGAGGTGTTTCAACAAACAGACTCATCTATTGTATGCCAAGAAATTTGGAAGATACCTACCTGTCTTCATGCCCATTTGTGGTGATTCAACAATATTTGGAAATTATTGAAAAAATAGGACTAATATTACATGCATTGTGATATTTTGTTGAAAATAATTAAAAACCCACTACAGCTGTCTATTGCCAGATAACTTCCGGAAATTCAAGCCAGATTCAGAAAAGGACATAGAGTGAGGTATATCATAATCATGGCTAAAGAGAGCTAAAAGGTGTTTACCTATGTTTTATTGACTGTTCAAAGACATTCAGCTGTGAGTCATAACAAATTATGAATAATAGCACTCTGAAGAATGAAAATTTAAACCACTTAAATGTACGTGTGAAGAACCTGTACATAGAACAAAAAGCAGGCATTCAAACTGAACAAGGGATCCTGTGTGGCTTGAAATCACAAAAGGTGTACATCAGGGTTGTATCCTTTCACCATTCTTATTCCTTCGGTATATTGAGCAAATAATATAAAAAACTGCCTGTATGAAGAATAACACAGCATTAAGATTTGAGGAAGAGTCATTAACAAGCTGTGGCATGCAGATGACACAACTGAAAGCAAAAAAGACTTGAAGCTTGCAGTGTAGATTATATCACAAAGAAAACATAGATCTTCAAAACTGGACCACTAAGCAACACATGACAAATGACGAGAAGATTGAAATTGTCAGGGATTTTATTTTACTTTGATTTGCAGTGAACAATCATGGAGGCAGCAGTCAAAGAAATCAAACAGCAGGTGAGTGGGGAGGGAGGAAATTGTGCAATAATGGATGAATATTTTATAAAAGTGAAATGGGGAAGGAAGAGAGAGGAAAATGTTCAACAATGAGCTAATGAAAACCCAACATTTCTGTAAACTTTTCGTTAAAATCACAGTTTAAAAAGAAATCGAACAACTTATTCCTTGGGCAGATGTGCTGCAAAAGACCTCTTTAAAGTCTTAAGAAGCAAAAATATCCCTGGGAAAGTTTATAACGTAATTCAAAGAAATAAGAGCATTTCATTATTTTCAACACTGGTTCTTTTTTCTTTGAACAGGTAACGTGTCTGGACATTTCTAGTGGAGGAGGCCTTGGGGTGTCTTCTAGCATGGATGGGAGCATGAAGATCTGGCAGGCTTCCAATGGAGAACTCAGAGTAATGACTTTGGATACACTTTAAGATCTTGTGCATGAAAGATAGTCTGAGTAACCCATGGTCTGGGCCATGGAAAGAAGCGTGACCCATTCTAAAAACATGGGACCACTGTACTTCAATTGGTCTCTATTCTCTCATGTGTTAATCTAAGAACATTCCCAGACTTGATGATTTGCTGGAATAGAATGAAGCTATAGCACTAGCAGAGCCACATCAGTAAATATCTTAAGTGGATGGCCAGTCCCCTCAGTATAAGCCTTGTTTAGTAATTGGTTTCTAAGGTTAGTTAGATAGGTAACTGAACATGCTTATCCCTTTGAACAATGTAGAAGTTTTTAGAGTCCCCCAGATCTCATCAGCTTCTGGTGTTTTAGAACTAAACCTGTGTATGATTGCTATAGCTAGAGAATTCAGTTCCACAAAATCTGTATGCAAAAGCCAGGAAAGGGAGGCAGTAGCTTTTAAAACACTACCTGTTTGTCAAATGAACTAACAAGATTATATATCATCCTTCATTTTAAAACTCAGCATGTGGTTCTAGCATTTAGGTGTTTTATACCAAAGATATAGGCGATGCTATAATAGAATATCAAAACATGGAATTTTCTTTTTTTCCAGAGAGTGTTGGAAGGACATGTGTTTGATGTGAATTGTTGCAGGTTTTTCCCATCAGGCCTTGTGGTTCTGAGTGGGGGAATGGATGCCCAGTTGAAGATCTGGTCAGCTGAAGATGCTAACTGTGTGGTAACCTTTAAAGGTCACAAAGGAGGTATGTAGGGTGATGGGGATGATTTTTTCTAGAAGACTTCTATAGTGGTCCTTAGAGACAAAATATAGAAACAGAAACTAGTTATCAACAAAAACGCAACCCAACCAGTCATTTAGATGAGCTAGAAATACCTTTGTTAGTCAGTTTTGTTAGTTCTATCTAGAATGTACTATCACTGATAGCATTTTTCATAATTTAAAAGAGGAAGAAAAATCCTTCCAGTAGAACATCTGTACTATGGGATAAAAAGAAATAAGACTAAATTAATAGGGGAAAACTCAAAACTAAGTAAAACTCCAGTTTTCTTTTTCGTCCTTTGGCTAGAGCAAATGTAAAAGCTGGGTTGTAAATGGCTGTATCACTGGAATGAAGAGATGGACTTGGCACTGATTTTTTATTCTCATAGATTTAGTTCAGAATTTAAAAATGAATTAACAGTTAATATCAAATTGTGAGATAGAATAAGAACTTCTTTCTTTTACTAGCTTAATTTTTTAATGTTTTTCTAAAAGAAAAAGACTTTTATAAGCTTGAATGTGAGTTTGAAAACCACTTCTCTAGAACATTTCCACTTAAAATTAAATTGTCAAGAAACTTTTCCACATCTCTCTAGCAAGGCTTTGAACCATTGGGAAGCAAGGACTCTGTTCTATTTATTTTTGTTTTTCTGGCCCTTGAACATGCCCAACCTATATATATAGTACATATACAGCTCAGATTTATTGAAGGACTAACGGTAGCATCAGGATGGATGGTGAAGAGATTGAGATTGTTCACACCTTCAGTTTGCTCGGCTCCACGGTCAACACTCTTGGCACCAGTAGCCAGGAAATCAAAAAACATATTGCGATGGGAAAGTCTGCGGTTAGGGACCTCTCTAAAGTATTCAAGAGCAACGGTGTCTCTCTGGAGATTAAGGTACGCCTGATACAGGCCATGGTTTTTGCAATCACTTGTTATGCATCAGAGAGTTGGACAATGACTAGGTAGGATAGAAGGAGAATTGACACCTTTGAGCTGTGGTGCTGGAGAAGAGTATTGAATGTACCATGGACTGCCAAGAAAACAAACAGATTCATCGTAGAGAGGGTTAAACCAGGCTGCTCCTTGGAGGCAAGGATTCTGGGGCTTCGCCTGACATACTTTGGACATAAGGAGAGACAGGTCTTTAGAGAGGGACATCATGCTGGGCAGAGTGGAGGGACAGCGCAGGAGGGGAAGACCCTCTATGAGGTGGATTGATTCAGTGACTGGGGTAATCAGGATGGGTGTGTCAGAGGCAATGAGATTGGCACAGGACAGAGCAGGGTTTAGGGCTGTTGTACATAGGGTCGCTATGAGTCGCAAACGACTCAACGGCACATAACAACAACAACAACAAGAGTCACTGATATAGATCCGATTTCTCTACCTTGTAATTTCTCTATCTACTCTATCTAAGGGATTTGTTCCTTCCTCTTGCCAGGTGTCTTAGATACAGCCATTGTTGACCGAGGAAGGAATGTAGTATCTGTTTCTCGAGATGGGACAGCACGACTTTGGGATTGTGGACGCTCGGCCTGCCTGGGAATCCTTACAGACTGTGGTTCATCTGTCAATGGAGTGGCTGTGGGTGCTGCTGACAACTCCATAAACCTTGGCTCCCCTGAGCAAACACCCAGTGAGTTGATTAAGATCTGGGAAATTCTTTTCTTAGGCTTCCTTCATGTTTACCTTTTTCCCCCCAATTTACCCTTCTTTTTTTTTTCTCCTTAGGAGCTTATATTTCTACTTTCACAAAGTAATGATGGTGGTGTACACCATCTGTTTTCATCAGGTTGTTGTTATATGCCGTCGAATTGACCATGACTCACAGTGACACTATTCACAATAGCACTGAACCTTGCTCTATCCTGGGACAGTCTTACTGTCTCTGACACACCTACCCTCATTACTTACTGAGTTAATCCATCTCATCCAGAGTCTTCATCTCCTGCACTCTCTCTACTCTTCTAAGCATGATGTCCTTCTACAACGATTGGTCCCTCCTGGCTACATGGCCAAAATATTATAAAAGTGAGATAAAGCCTTAAAATCCTTGCCTCTAAGGAGCAGCTTGGCTTTACCCTCTCCAGGACAAACCTGTTAGTTCTTTCGGCAGTCCATGGTGTGTTCATTTGTCTTCTCGAGATCCACACCTCACAGATAGCAATTCTTCTTCTTTTCTCTTTGGTCACTGTCCAGCTCTGTGATGTATAACAGGTAATTGTGAAGAACCATGGCCTGAATCAGGAGCACCTTAGTCTCTAGACTGATATCATTGCAGTTTAGCACTCTGACGAGATCTCTGACAGCATATTTTCTCAACCCAGTTTGTCTTTTGATTTTCTAACTGCTGGTGCCAATAATTTGATTGTGGAACCAAGCAAGCCGAAATAGTTAGCAATCTCAATCTCATCTCTATTTAGTATGATACTGCCAATTGACCCATTGGTGAGAATCTTCGTTTTCTTAATATTGATCTTCAATCCATATTGTAAACTATAATTCTTGACCCTCTGCAGCAAATACTTCAGGCTCTCCTCAGTTTCAGACACAATCAAGGTTGTGTCGTCTGCATAACACAGGTTGTTGATGAGTCTTCCTCCAATCCTGATGCCACGTTGTGTTGGAGAAGAGCCCTGAACATCCTGTGGATGGCCAAAAAAACAAATTACATATGTCTTGGAGAAGGTGCAGCCAGGGTGCTCTTTGGAGGCAAGGATGATGAGGCTCTGCCTCATATACTTTGAGCATGTTGCTAAGAGGGGCTGTTGATTAGAAAGGAACATGATGCTTGGAAAGGTGAAGGGTCGGTGAATGAGAGGAAGACCTTCGACCAGGAGGATTGACATGGTGACTGTTGTGTTGCAAAGGACTCTAGTGTGTCAGGAAGTATGGTGGTGGTACAAGACAGGATAGGGTTCAGATCTGCTGTTCTGAATGACTCTTAGGGTTGCTATGAGTTTTACTGGACTTGATGGTGCCTAACAACAACAATGCAAATATAATAGGTTTCAGAGGAAAGGAGTGATTTATTTAGATTAATATCAGTAAAGAAGATGTTGCAATAATAATTGGCTTAGACCTTGAAGGATGAATTGGTGTTGAACGTACAGAAATTAGAAGACTATTTTAAGATTGGGAGCTAAGGCAGTGTATAAATGAATGTTCTACCAAGGTAATTTTATTCTTTTACTAATAATTGCTTTTCTGTTTCCTTGGGGCTTTTTTTTCTCTGCCATCATCTTTGCCCCGCAGTTTTGATAGAATCAACTAAGTGCTCTACTTCTTTTAAACCTCCTGTATAAATGTGCAGTGGTCAAAGGCCTTCTGCTAAAACTTGAACACTCCATGAGCCCTGACACCTCTTTAGGAATTCATGAAGCATTAGGTAGAAGTGTATTTCACAGAGTGATAAATGTGCAGTTAGTAGTGAATGAGTTCATTTTAGTCAGTACACATTTTTATTAGCTACATTTTAGTAAAAGAGATATACACGTCTATCTTCCCATCCCCTTTAAACATAAGATTTCACAGACATTTTTATTTCCAACAAAATTAATGTGTTTTTTTTTTTAAAATTGTTTCTTGGAATTAATTTAAATTACAATATTCTTATTTTTTCTACCCTAACTTTGCAGTTTACTCTTCAAGTTATTCTGGAATGATTTATGCCCCAGCTATTTCCCTGAATTGGCTTCTGTTTGATTCACTGATGACCTCCTTGTTGCTAAATCCAGTGTTAATTCTCTGTGTTCATTTTTCTAAACTCTTGATGATATTCAACACAGTAAACTCCTTTCTCAGCATTTTGATTTCCTGTCATCTATGTTATAGCACTACAGTGAATTCCTTCCTCTCTTACTGTTTCTTTTGGTCTCCTTTTAGAAGTCCTCTGTATACTGCTGTTCTCTGTTCTGTTGGAGGATCTCACTCTTTAGTCCTGTACTTTCTGTTCTAATTATAACTTTTCCCTGGATGATCTCAACTATTCCATGACTTTAAATACTGTATTTAAGCGGGTGGTGATTTCCAGAAGTATACCTATATTCTAGTCCTCTGGCCTAAATTTCAGACTTTCTTTATTGTTTGATGAACACCTCAAACTGACACTGACTTTTGAGTATTTTCTTTTCCACAACCTCAGTACTGTTTTCTCCATCTCAGTAAATGGCACCAGGATCTGCCTATTTGGTCAAGCCCAGAACCTGAGATTAATTCATGACTCACCCCTTTTCCTCATGTTCCACTTCAGCAAAGTTTACCGTTTTTACTTCCAGTGTTTTCCATTTTTTGACACCTCATGCCCACACTACACTGTGCCAGGCTCCCACTGTTCCAGCTACATGCTTTCTGTTGGTGCTTTCAACGCAGCAGACTCAATTTCAGCCTCCTGGCTTTTGTCTTGCTCTCCCTAAATTTAGCAAGTATTTCCCGCAGACCTCCTCCAATAACTCATTTCTGTCCATCATTCAGGTCCTGCTGAAAAGCAGTCTCCACAGATGTTTCTGAAATTAAGATTATCTCCCCTACCAAGTCTCCTTCCACTTTATTGTTGTTTTGTGCCACTGAGTTGAGTACGACTCATAGTGACCCTGTGACTAACAGGCCTTGTCCTGGCTTGTGCCATCCATATAATCTCTGCCATTCTCAAGCCCATTACTGCAGCTATTGTGTCAGTCCATCTTATTGAGGGTCTTCCTCACTTTTGCTGATATTCCACCTTCCCAAGGAATTTATGTCCTTTGAATAATCTGTCATGGCCTCAAAGTATCCTATTTGTGTATGATCTCTTTCCAGTAGAGTCCTTGAGAGCAAGGACTTTATCATTGATACCTCAGTGCCTTGAATAATGTCAGACCCTTGCCCTGTCCTCATGAACTCTGAAATGCTTGAGCCCATAGTTAAAGTCACTGTTTATTGAGTGAATTAATAAATTTCAAGTTAGTTTTATTGAGATATAATTTATGTACACTAAAAGCTCACTCTCTTTTAATGTATCATTCTGTGAGTTTTGACAGATGTTCACAGTTTTGTAAACACTACCATCCCTAAGAGATTGGACATAATACATTATTTTTAAATTAATGAGTGTATCACTAACATAGAACATAGTCAACAGTATTTTTGCTTATGACTGTTGCTAGCTGGTCAGCCCAGCACCTTTAACGACACTGTGCATCTGTCATGCAGGTGAACGGGAGGTTGGAACGGAAGCAAAAATGCTGCTCTTGGCCCGGGAAGATAAGAAGCTTCAGTGCCTAGGACTGCAAAGCAGGCAGCCGGCAAGTGATTCCTATAAGACCTTTGACCTGTGAGCAACCTGGGCTACAGTTTTTTTTTAAAACTGTTTTGAAAACATTTCTATGTGATCTCTTCATTTTTGAGGAGAAAGAGTGGGTGAAAGTACAGTGTAGTGATTACAAGCATGAAACTGGGAGTAAGGGCTACATTTAAATCCTAGCTCATCCACTTCAAGATGGTGACATTGGGAAAATTATTTAATCCATTTGAGTTTCAATTTCTTCATCACTAAACATAGCATTTTGCTAAAATAGGATTTAGCGCATACAGTCGTGCAATGCATATTGAATGTTTCTGCTCTGCAACCTTGGAATCAATTTTCCTCTTTGAGCCTTAGAGTGCTAACGTATAAATTGAAGAGAGTACATTGATGCCCTTTCAGAGCCCTTCTACCTCTAGGGTAACTCATGCATTCAGGGGTCTTGCTTGATTAATGACCAGAACATCATAGAGGAATTCGTTGAATTTTTTTTTTTTCTTTCATCTCCAAGGTTTGCTGGAGAGATTAAACTTTGTCCTCCCAGAGATTTGATTTATTAAATTTCCTTCTTACTCCTGTCATCATTATCCATACAACTTTAACGATTTGATCTGGCCACAGTCATTGTCTATCATTTGATCCCATTTCTCTATTGTACTGGTGATACTTTCATTTTTACTGTTTGCTCCAGAGCACCATTATTTTTTCTGAAATTGCCTTTGCACTCTAACTTTCCTAGACTAATTCTTACATCCAAAAGGAATGAGTTTTTGTTTGTTTGGGTTATTGGTTTTTTATTTAGAATATTTGAGGGAGAAATGCTCAGTTTGAGTTAATGGTAAGGAATAAATGAAAGCCTAATAATTCCTTTTTTTCAGATACACAGTGAGAATTGTAATTCTTTGTCACTTTATTTAAGCCTGAATTCTTTCCTACAAAGTTTTCCCTTCAAAAGATGCCTTTAAGTGGCATGAAACAAACCCTAAATTTTGGAATTGCAAGTGGAGGAATATGTTGTAATTAAGGATTTTCTGTAGTAAAGAACTGATGGATCGGTGATTTTGCCTGGCTATTACAGTTTGAAAACTGCTACCTCAGAGTGTAGAGTGTTATAGAAACAGCTCAACCTGAGGTTTCTGAAATCCTGGCAGTCCTTCTTCCTCAGCTTTTAGCAAATATTTTACTGTTCAAGAATGCCTGAAGAAGGTAAAAGGAAAAATAACTTAGAATAATAAATTTTCCTTTTCTTGGTGCCTGTTTATTCTTGGAAACAATCTTTAAACAGCTTTTCTCACACTTTTGTCCCTAGGTGTTCCTCTTTATTGGCTCAGATGCCTTCAACTGCTGTACTTTTCTCTCTGGCTTCTCACTATTAGCTGGGACACAGGATGGAAACATTTATCAGTTGGATGTGAGGAGTCCAAGGTGAGTTACCATCCACTTGCCTGATGCAGCCTTCTTCAAAGTGGAATTTTTTATTGACTTTAACATGTGCTACAGATGACTATTGATCAAGGGTTTATTTTTCTATTTGTAAAGATTTTTCCAGTGTGAATTATCTGATCTTATTACTGTTGTTAGAATCATATTGGATTCATACTATTATAATTGTCCTGCTGCAGTGTTTGCTCTGAAAATTAAACTTAAATAATGAAATAACATTTCATTAAAAATGATTGAAAAAAATTATTGGAACTCTCAGTACTGAGGGGCTCAGCAGTTATTGCTTTGGTGTTAGATTTGGAGTGGGCTAAGATTGAACAATCATACTTAGCTTACGTAAGCTAGCTTTGTTTCTTTATTTGGTTTTAATATTAACCTAAGACAGAATTAATTCTGGTCTTCTAGATATTGAGAGAGAATAACCATAGCCTGTTCTCAGATTGAATAATTTCTATGATTCTTTCTTTCTCTCCTTACTTTTCTTCCTTTCCTCCTTTAGTGTGCAGTGAATGATTTCTGTGGGCACTGAAAAAACAGAAATAAAAAGTATGACTTCTTTATTTGAGTTACATGCAGTCTAATAGAGAAGAAAGCTAAGTCAAGGCCCATTGTGGTACTGATGAGAATATACTAGGAAATTTGAAGAAGCACTAAGAAGAGATGAAAGAGCGGAGAGGAAACAAAAGCAGAATAGGGAGGGGTGGTGGTGGTGGAAAGTAAAAGTATGAGATAGCCCAGGAAAGAGACCCCAACTATGCTGAGTTGATTTGTATAAAATGAGGTGTGATATTAACATATACATTTCCTCAAATTGTAGTTATTCTAGTACTTATAGCCTCAGATGTCACTGGATAGAACTGCTATTCTCAGCTCTTTCATTAGACCCTGAAAGTGTTATTCTGATTGGACAGCCATAATAACTCACCTGAACTAAGATTATTCTTACACTGTACAATAATAGATGAGCTGAATAAAATTAAAGCAAGATCCAGACATTTCACTTCCCTCTAGTTACTTTTAGACCAGAAAATCAAAACCCACTGCTGTGAGTTGAGTCAGTTTTACCAACTAGAGTGGCTGGTGGATGCTCTGTTGCTTTCCAAGGCTATGAATCTTTACAGGAAGAGACTGCCTGTCTTCTTCCTACAGAGCAACTAGTGGATTCAAACTGCCATCTTTCTAGTTACAAAGTATACATCAGGACTCCTTGGTTGGTTATGTTGTTGTTGACTGCCACTGAAACAGAATTGACTATAGCTGAAAACTTCACAGTGGATTTTCAGAGACAGTTAATCTCACTTGAGGAGATTGACCATCCTTTCTTCTCCCACTAAGCAGCTGGTGGATTCAAACCACATGCCTTTGGGATTGCATTGCTGTTACCTACCACTAGGCTACCAGAACTCCCTTGTTTATTATATTGTTGTTGTTATGTGCCATCGAATTGCTTGCGACTCATAGCGACCCTATGTACAACAGCCCTAAACTCTGCTCTGTCCTGTGCGAGTCGCACTGTCTCCAATACACCCATTCCGATTACCCCAGTCACTGAATCAATCCACCTCACAGAGGGCCTTCCCCTCCTGCGCTGACCCTCCACCCTACCAAGCATGATGTCCTTCTCCAAGGACCAGTCTCTCCTTACATGTCCAAAGTATGTTAGATAGAACCTCAGAATCCTTGCCTCCAAGGAGACACCCGGTTTAACCCTTTCCAGGATGAATCTGTTTGTTTTCCTAGTGGTCCATGGTACTCTCAATACTCTTCTCCAGCACCACAGCTCAAAGGCATCAATTCTCCTTCTATCCTCCTTGGTCATTTCCAACTCTCTGATGCATAACAAGTAATTGTGAAGACCATGGCCTATATCAGATGCACCTTAGTCTCCAGAGAGACACCATTGCTCTTCAGTACTTTGGAGAGGTTCTTGACAGTAGACTTTCCCATCGTAATATGCCTTTTAATTTTCTGGCTACTAGTGCCAAGAGTGTTGACTGTGGAGCCAAGCAAACTAAAGCTGTGAACAGTCTCAATCTCTTCACCATCCATCCTGATACTGCCAATTGGTCCAGTGGTGAGAATCTTTGTCTTGACATTGAGCCTCAATCCATACTGAAAGCTGCAGTCCTTGACCCTCTGCAGCAAGCGCTTCAGGTCATCCTCAGTTTCAGCAAGCAGGGTTGTGTCATCTGCATAACGCAGATTGTTAATAGATCTTCCACCAATCTTGACCCCACATTTCTCCTCATAGAGCCCAGCTTCCTGGATAATCTGTTCTGCATATAGCTTGAAAAGGTATGGAGATAGGATGCATCCCTGATGTACACCCTTCTAATTTTGAACCATGCAGTGTTCCCTTGCTCTGTTCTAACGACTGCCTCCTGGTCCAAGTATAGATTTCTCATTAGCATGATCAAGTGTTCTGGGATTCCCATTCTTCTCAGAGTCAGCCACAGTTTGTTATGATCCACACAGTCAAACGCCTTTGCATAATCAGTGAAACACAGATAGACATTCCTCTGGTATTCCCTGCTTTCAGCTAAGATCCATCTAACATTAGCTAGCTACAATATCCCTAGTACCACGACCCCTTCTAAACCCAGACTGGACTTCTGGCAGTTCTCTCTGCTGATTGTTTATTATAGGCATCATATATCCACTAGTCCTACTATAGCATGCTGGCCCACAAAAATGCTTATCAGTCCACAGTGAAAAAGAAGCTTGTACAAGAATATCTATCTTTTCTTCATGGATGTTTTCATACCCCCTCCTTCCAAAGTCACCTGAACTAGAGTGTGCATATTGATGAAGTTGATTTATATTCTGGCCCAAGTGTCTTTTCTTGTGTTGTTAGTAAGCTCATATAAAGCTCTGGTCTGCAGATCACACTTTGGATCACATTGATTTACAAACAAGCTCATCTTATTTTAACATTTCTTCGTACTTACGTGGTGGTTTTACTTCCAGTATTAAAATAATTCTTAAAGTGCCCTGAGGGATAGTCTGGACAAGGGTGCTTTTCATTTCACATGCAAGTGCTGAAACTAAGGCATAGGGAGACTATTTGTCCAAGTTCATATAACTAATATATGCTATTTCTCAGTACTATTTGCTTGCATATGTGTGATTGTAGATCAGTACTTGATTAAGCTAACATTATCAAGGAATATGTTTATGCACATAAGCAACTTTGATCTCCTTGCTCATGCCTCCCTTTATTTAATCAACATGAATATTATTTGCCATATACTGTGCTAGATGTGGAGAATATAGGTATACCCTCAATATGTGCACAGTTAAGAGGTAGATGCAAAAACAGTAAACTAGTAATTTTGATGAGTTGTGATAAATTCGAGGGTCAATAGTTGAATCTAAGTGTGGTGCTTCAGATTCCTCTTTCTAAACTCCCTGCTCCAAAGAGGACATACTTTAAAGAGAACATACTTTCTACAGATTTGTTTTTATGTACCATCAAGTCGATTTGATACATAGCTGACCCTCCAGCAGGTTTTCATAGGCAGTTAATCAGTGGCACAGGAGGACAGTGTCCATCTTTCTCCAATGGAGCAGCTGGTGGATTAGAGAATTGCAGCACAGCTTCATACCACTAGGCCACTAGTGCTGTTGGAATTAGCTCAGAAGTAATATGTTTTATTTTAGTAATCTTTACAGAAGCAGACTGCCACATCTATCTTCCCGAGAGTGGCTGGTGGGTGCTAACTGCTAATCTTTTTGTTTAGCAGTTGAGTGCTTAATCACCGTGTCACCTGGGCACCAGCAAATAGGACTCCTCTGATGAGCTAATTGCAAGGATTCTTAAGTTTGCATTGTCAAGGTGGTGTTACTTAGTAATACTAATTAATGGAGGGGAAGGTTAATTGTATCTAAATTTGTGTAAAAATATATGTTAAATCCCAGAGTGAGAAAGCATGAAATTGAGTCCTAACCCTGCACTTACTTGGGCCAGTAGTTTCATGTCTGTTGAATGTCTATTTAATCATCTATAAAAGGGTAAGTTTTCTTTGTGAGCAGTGAATGAAGTGAGGAAAGTAATGGCATTATAAAATATTTTTGTGCATATAATAGGCTTTCCCTACAATTGTGCAACCCCCTCATCTGTTAGTTTCTTATGCTCTCTCTGTGAATTGCATAAGTGTGTGCATTATTTATGTAGGCATGTTAGTAGGATAAAAATACAGTATCCATTAATGTTAGGAATTTAAGGATACTCAATAGATACCTGATTTTTATTAACGTGAATTGTTGTTGTTGTTTGCCCTTGAGTCCGCAGTGGCTCATAGCTGATCTTCCAGCACGTTTTCAGAGGCAGTTAATTGCACAGGAGTAGACTGCCCATCTTTCTTCCGCAGAGCTGCTGGGACACTCAAACTGCGTGCCTTTAGAACTGCAGCACAGCTTCTTACCACTAGGCCACTAAACCTCCCTATTAACATGTATGCTCTTGTTGTGTGTGATTGAGTCAGAATTGATCCATAGCTGACCCTCCATTGGGTTTTCAGGGGCAATAATTAAGTAGGAGGAGATTGCCTTTCTCCCTCAGAGCAACTGGTGGATTCGACCTGCATGCCTTTGGGATTATAGGACAACCTCTTACCACCAGGCCAACAGAGCTCTCTGTTAGCCTGTGTGGTTTGTTGTCAGGACCAACTTACAGCTGACCCTCAGCATATTTTCCAAGGCAGTAAATTGCATTGAAGGAGATTGCTCATTCTTCTCCTGCAGAGCAACTGGTAGATTAAAACTGCTTGCCTTTGGGCTTGCAGCACAATTTCTTGTCACTAGCGAACCAGAGCTAGCAAGTATATTACTAACATGTATATTATTTCCAGAAGGCATATCTTCAATGGTGAGCTATCTTTCTCTAATTCCCATTTTTCAGTACTCTTAAACTTTAGTTCTACCATGATTGATATCAGAATGAAAGAACCTAGCAGAACACACTGACTCCCTGAGCCTCCTTTAAGTGCATCATGTAAGTGCACACGTGCCTGGGTTTTGAATCCCAACATTAACTAACACTTGTTAACAGATTACTTAAGCTCTCTAAATCAGTGTCCTTGTCTGGAGATGAGTTTGTAACATGTTTATTTTTCCGTAATGTTAACAAAGTGAGATAAGGTATGTAAAATGACAAAAATAACCTCAACATTTAGTAACAATTACTATTTTTTCCATCATCATCACAACACACTAATAGTAACTATAACTATTTTTTCCATCATCATCATCACAGCACACTAATTAATAGATAGATTGCAATTCGAAGGACCTGGTAGATTTTGACTTTGTTCTGCTTAGGTGCTATTATAAAATGGTCACTTCTCCCAACTTTTTCATCTACTGTTTCATAACCGGTTCAATCTTTTTAGCCATGTGCTTCCTAGTGTGACATACAATCATTCATATACACTGGGAAGATCTTCACTCCAGGGTAATTTTGAGTGGGTTGCTTTGGTCTCTTAGGAGCTTACTAGGAAAAAATTTATGTGGATATTTAATCTCGTTTATTTGTTCACTTTGCTTTTATGTGGATGATACTATACAGTGAACATAATTAAGCAATGGCTTGGAAGAAAAGAAAGTATAAATTGTCCCTTTTTTTCTGGATCCTAGGGTTCCAGTACAAGTTATCCATAGATCAGGAGCACCAGTTCTCTCCTTGCTGAGTTTCAGAGATGGATTCATTGCTAGCCAAGGTGGGTACAGCGACCAGTTGGAAGAGGTTGCTTCCATCTATTGTTTAAAAGGGTGCCTTGAGATGATAAAAAAAAGTATTATAATGAAATGGTCAAAGGTCTGCAGTTAGAACACCAAGGAGAAAGAATGTGATCATTTCTCAAGCTGAAAGAACTAAAGTAAAAATTCAAGCCTTGAGACCCCTAAGCTGAGTGTCTCAGTTAGTATATTTTTGGGTGTCATGGGGAACAAACCACCCACTTTATTACAAATAGTTTAAATAGTTAGAAAAGTGCACTATTTCCATTCTATGGAAGGGGTGTGAAGGAAATGGAAAGAATCTTTTGTGAGAAACGGTATATTCAAACTTTGTAAATAAATCAGTATAAAAATTTTTTAGAGTGCACTATTTAACAAGAAATCCCAGTATATGGTGGTTCCAGATTAGATTAATGTTTTGTTGGATGTCCCTGAGTCATTTCCTTCTCAGTGACCTCATGTGACAGTACTGCCTCAGAGGGTTTTGTTGGTTGTAATCTTTCTCTCTGTCTCTCAGGTTATCTTGTTGTTGATAATATACACAACACAACATAACCAATCCAACAATTTCTACATGTCTAATTTTGTTACATTGATTGAATTCTAGTTGTATACTGATTTTTACCCTCCATTTCTGCATTTTTCCTCCCTTATTAACATAAACTCAATCTCTAATCAGAGACCAAGCTACTCTTTTTTTTTTCCAAGCTACTCTTTTAAGTTACTGTTTTCAGTTTGGTGCTGCATCACCAATTGGTGGCAGTCACTGAGGGAAAATAAATGGAGAGTGCTAGAAAATGATGTCTATAGATTGCTACTTACTCTTAATTATGGTCCAGAAATCTTGAATGAGAATATCTGTAAAATAAGGTATTAGTTGATTGATTTGTTTCTTTTGGTTTGTTGGTTTGTGTTGTATTTTTTTTTAAAGTAATATAGCGACAGTCTTCCCCCCCCCTTTTATATTGATTTGCATATAAAATTTGTATACATTGTGCTTCTTCCAGGTACATTGTGTTTTACACAATCTTTCATACAAATTGTGTTTCACACACTCATTCATATATATTGTATTTTATAAAATTAATTACTATTGATCTATGCCTGTTATAACCCCATCTTTTTAAGTCCCCATTGGATCTTTCCTGTTCTTTCACCCACCCACTAAACATGTGTGCCTACTAAACCCTGCTATCCCAGTGAATTCCCCCTTCCCCATTTTGGAAATGTATACACATCTTACACATCTTACTTACTTATATCCATCATTCTTACAATTATGGTCTTGCGCAGTTCTTGTCCTTTTGAGACTGAGTTAGTTCATTCAGCAGAATGCTCTCTAGCCTGTCCCATGTTAAATAGTATTTTACAAATTCATTTCTCCTGGGTGCTCCATAATATGCTTTTGTGTGAATGTACCACAACTTCTCAATCCATTCATTTGTTGATGAGGGAAGTAAGGTATTAGTTTGACAGAAATGAAAGTAACTACACAAGAGAGATGGCCGTCATCCACTAGGGGCTCCAAGAAAGAAAGATAAACAAAATCCTTGCAGGCAATGGCAATGACAATGAAGAAATGAATGAATATGGGCTGCCTATTCAACAGTTAGTCCCCAGTCCTTGTCCTTGCTAACAAAATCTAAGACTGTGTTTGGTAACAAGTGACCTAGGAGGTGAAACTTGATTAGCCCAAACCAGTCGTCGTAATCCCACCCCCTACCCAGTGACTGCCTTAGCCTGTTGGAGTGCTCATGAAGAAATATCCATCATTCTTGAATAGGGAAGTAATAGTATCTATCCACTGTTACCTGAGGATGAGAGTTGCTGTCTTGTATGGTGACCTTGAGAAAATAAGCCTGAGAACAGAACTAAAGAAGGAAAGAGCCAGAATATGGAAGGAATCTGGGTTCTTGATATTTTTTTTCTTAATGAAGCATTTTTTAAATTTTTTTTTAAAAAACCTCAAACTGTAGTTTTGAATGATTTTAGATTTACAGAAACAATACAAAGATAGTAGAAAGATTTCTCATAAGCCCTTCAGCCAATTTATTTCCCCTTATGTCACCTTATTTTTGTCAGAGCTGAGAAACTAACATTGGTAGAATACTGTTGTTGTTGTTGTTGTTATGTGCCGTTGAGTCACTTGCGACTTATAGTGACCCTATGTACAGCAGCCCTAAACTCTGCTCTGTCCTGTGCCAGTTGCACTGTCTCTGATACACCCATCCCGATTACCCCAGCACTGAATCAGTCCACCTCACAGAGGGCCTTCCCCTCCTGCACTGTCC